ATAAATATGTATTAAATGATTGAAAAAAATTCAAGGTGGTACCTGTTCATGAAATTTTAAAAGGGTTTTCTGTTTGCTTCTAAAAAGTCAATGGAGAATACCTGATGCTTATTGAGTGCTTGCTGTGCTAAGCATATACCTGCATCATTATCTCACTTTTTCCATCAGCTCTATAAGGGAGGTACTCAGAGTCACAGAGTGGCTCTGGGGCCAGGGCCGTTTAAGTGGTAAATGACATGAGATGTGGGCTTACCCTATTCAATGCGGTGGTATCAACCCATCAAGATTCTTATTATTGTGCTGCTGTGTGGACCTTTAAGTAACGCCCTTCTCATCTTTTTCTTACCCCCACCCTACTCTACTACCATCCCCAGGATACACCTACACCACTCTCATCTTACCCATAGATCTCAGTGGGTTGTGAGATCCATCATTCCACCCCATCTTACCCATACATCTCAGTGGTTTGTGGAAAATATCCGAGGCCCATTAACAGGAAAACCTGGTGGTTCCTAACAGGTGTGACTGTAAGGAATATAGATAAATAATAGTCTTTTATGGATCACATGTGCATTAATAAGGGGGTCCTGCTTGAAGAGCTCATGGTCCACCTTAAAGGAATGGTAAGTTCCCTCAAGCCAATTTTTTTTTTTTACATGAGGCCTCCAAAGCTACCTTCAGAAGCCTGGCTCTAGGCTGAGAGAACGAGTTCATACCAGCTGTCACTTTGAAAGCTTCCTTGGCCTTTGTGGTCTGAATGGAATGGCATTGGTCAAGGTAGAGAACTAAGCCCTAGGTTCTGAGAGAGGAAAGAGACTTGTTACTATTAACTAGTATCTTCCTTTGTTTTCATCCTCTTCCTCCACCAGTCTCAGTCAGCTTCTCATTGTAAAGAGAACAATATAGTTAAAAAAAAAATCCAATGTTGATGTCATATTTACTGGAATTGTATCATAGTCAGTATAGATTAAATGTTGATGGAAGAGTGGCCATTTCTCACTCATTGGCAGGTTGAGGTTTTTCCAATCAAGTCAGGCACTCCTTGTCAATCATGACACTGACATAGTAGGAGATAAGACATTGCCACTGGCTGGGCTGGGGGAAGGGTTATTTCCTGAGGGACATTTCTGGTCTAAATGGGCTTTTTCTTGTCTTTGTTTGCCTTGTCTTTTTGCCCTTCTAACCCAGGCTTCTCTTACTCCAGGTGGTTTTATAAAATGATTGCCAGTCTTGGTACTCTTTTCTCAGAGAATAAAAGACATCCAAAAAGAATTTGTCATTCAAGTGATACAAAACCAAACTTTGCACTTACTTATGAGGGAGTTGAGGACAATTTGGACATCTGAACCAAGCCAGCCTTCAATGTGTTTTGATTGGTCAAGTCTTTTAAAGGAATTAGAATATAAGTGCTCTTCGGTGGGGCAGTACTTCCTAGGTCAGCTACTGTCATCTCTGCTCCCTAATATACCATGCCTACTGTTCATTTTTAGCTGCCTGACTCCTAAAGATATTGGATTTTGGACTCCTGTTTGTAAAGTCTTATTTTTTTCCTCTCTGATCTTTCTCTTAGTATCTATAGTTGGGGTTCTTTCATTGAGATAGAGCTTGAATCATTTCCAGGGTTGTTTCTAGTTCTGATTATTTTCTTCCATATAAAGCAAGCAGAATGCAAAAATACAATCTTCTAAAAGAAGTTCCCTTACCTAAGAGAAATAGTTTCAGAGATAGCTCAATTCTTTCTGCAAAGCCAAAGCTTAAATCTACAACATGTCAAGGCAACTCTATTTTCTGCAAGAGTAAAGTAGATACTGTGAATGGTCCTGGATCTGTCAGTTGCTGAGACTACAGCTACAGTTCCTCACTAGAACTGTCTTTGAACCTACCTGCTTACCCAAGGTAACATCCCCTCCCAGAGAGCAGTCAATGAAGGGACATGGGGGCTAGGCCTCATTGCCTCAATGGGGGACAAGTCTGAAGGGTTTTTCCAGCTCCCCATTAGGATCTGCTGAGGCCTCAGTTGCAAGTACATCATAGGTCGATTCTCTTCCTCCTGCCTAATCTTGCCCCTTAGGTATACTTCTTGAGAGCTGTCTCCAATAAGCTTTCTGTCCTGACTGCACCTCAGAGTCTGTTTCCAGGAAATCCAATCTAAGACAAGGAGTGAACTAAGATATAGAAAGAGTAAGTGTCTTGCCCCTGCCATACCAAAAGGCAAAAAAGGAGATATACTGTTGGCAACAAGGTACGTAAATTACATTACGCTACCATGCAAAGGATCCCTTGAAGCCAGCTAGTGCAATCCACCCTTTTCCAGGTGGGGAGATTGAGGCAAAGAACTAAAGTGATTTACTCAAGGTATCATAAGCTAATTAGGTGAGAAACTTTTGGATCAGGATCCATACCTATGGCTTAGTCAGGCCAACTACAGTATTCTGTAGTTCCCAGGATAGTCAAAACCAAGTGAGAGTCAAATCCAACTTTGGGAATTTAGAGTCAATGTCAAGTAGTGTTTTGAACCTACCCTTCATGGACAATACCTCAATGTGACCTCTTGCTGTAAGAAGCCACTGAAACTTTTGAATAGAACCATCAACTGAAAAGAGGAGGCCAGGGCGGTGCCTGTGGCTCAAAGGGGCCATATGTTGGAGATGGTGGGTTCAAACCCAGCCCCGGCCAAAAACAGCAAAAAAAAAAAAAAAAAAGAAAGGAAAGAGGAGGCCAGTCTGAATCAGGGGTGGGTAGTGCACTTTATTAGCAAACAAAACAGTACCATACAGGCAAGATCTTACTTCAATGGCAACACACACGCATATGCATACTCCCACATGTAGCACTGGGGCAAACTTCAGACATGGAACATTAGGCACCAAATTCACAATCAAACTAAACATAACTTCACAATCCTTCAACAATTTTTTCTTCAGTAGAGTATGAGACCTTATTTAACATTTAATTGTGACAGATAGATGAACTTTTGAAATCTATTTTTTGAGCAAACTATGGAGTGAGGTTGACTTACTCCAGAACTATAAAGTGAATACCTTAACAGAGCCAGGCTCTATCAGCCTCTTTTAACTGACTTTCATTTCTCAGGTTCAAAGAAAAGACCTTTGGTAGCTTCATGTTGGACACCTTCACATGGGGTGGAAGTTCTTAGCTCCAATTTCATGTCTAGGCACATCTGGACTGGCATTCATTTTGGTGCCCAATCTGTAGCTTAAGAGGGTTGATGTAATTAGAATAAATCAATTTTTTAAAAAAGAGAAGAGGGTAAATCACATACTAACAAGCCCTTCAACATTCAAGATTCAAATATGTTAATAACCTGATTACTGTTAAAACTGTTGCCAGTTAAAGACTTTAAATCAGCACTTCCCAAAGGTGTGTCAGGACTGAGTTAATCAGTAAGTGAAGAGAAACAACTGTAATAGATTAAGGAGAGATTTCTTGAATCATTTAGTGTTACATGTGGCAGCTCCTTATGTACTGGAGCATGTCCAAGATGTTAACAAAATGCCTAACTTAGCAAAAATGCCTTTGAATTACAAGGTAAACAGTGGCAGAAAAATCTAGCTCTTAGGATAGGCAAAACTTTGGAAGACCAAAGTCCTTGCACCATAGTCCAGTGACTTAAGTTTGGATTGATGATAAAGTTAATGGTGTAATAAAATTGGGTTGGGTGGAGTTTCCTCTGGCAATCTTTAATTTTCTCCTTAAATAAAAAAATATTTTTTAAAAAGAAGTATTTTATGATTGAAACCTTTAGGAAGGGCTTTTTAAAATATGATTGTTTTGAAAATAGGTAAGATAAGAACCCCACATTACTCCGAAAATAGAGAACTCAGTCTTTATATATAAAATCACACAATTTCATGTCTTTTATAAAACTTAATAACTAGGCTTGGTGCCTGTAGCTCAAGCAGCTAAGATGCCAGCCACATACACCAGAGCTGGCAGGTTCCAATCCAGCCTGGGCCTGCCAAACAACAATGACAACTACAACCAGCTGGGCATTGTGGTGGGCGCCTGTGGTCCCAGCTACTTGGGAGGTTGAGGCAAGAGAATCACTTAAGCCCAGGAGTTGGAGGTTGCTGTGAGCTGTAATGCCACAGCACTCTACCCAGGGTGACAGCTTGAGGCTCTGTCTAAAAAAAAAAAACAAAACAAACTTAATAACTAAAGCAAGTGCAGTTATAATACACAGCCCTAATTTCCTTTCTGTCTTTGACAGTTTTAACAAATAATAATCAGAGATATATCATGTATTCAGGACTTGAGAGAAATTATTTACACAAAGGTAACCATGTTGAAGGCATATGCCAATTCTATGATTATAAGAAAAAAAATATACGCCTCTTGTGGCCTTCAAACAGCCAGGGGCCACCTGGAAAAAGGAAATACTGCTCTCCTGAAGTCAACATAGAATGTTATCACTAACAGGGATCGATTGGTTCCTAGTTGACTTCTAAGGGGAAGAGGAGATGCCTATAGAGGTTGGTCTGAAGCCATACTAGGCTGGGAGGCCTCCTGGAGAACAGTCCTGCCACTATTTCATCGGCTCATCTGGGGTGCTGTACACAAGTCACAGCAAGTCAATTGAAGCATTATAACTCAGTAAACTCTCTCCTCTGTAGGATGCAAAAGAGGAAAAACATACAAATAAGCTAGTGCTGAGACTGGAGGTCTAGAAAAATCACAGGAATTATAAGGGCTCAGGAGCTTTCTGAGGCAGCAGCCCCTGACTGGTTTGAGGGCCTACAAAGCCACTGGCCCCACAGTGCTTTCCTTTATTTCCTGATCCAGAGTGGGGCCTGCTCACCTCAGGAGGCTGTGAGCCTCCAGGCTTTGTACCAACACTTCACCATCACCTAAGAACAGAAAAAGGACAGTCACAGATTGGATCTTAACCTATTCCACTTCTACAGAAAGAAAGTCAAATGCTTTCTTTTTGAAATCATCAGGTATTTTGCATTAAAGGGCACATAAACAGGACACAGAAATTGTTTTGAATGAACACATCAATTTTAGCTTTTTGAACGCGATCACCAGGCTTTATTCTATCAATCAACGTGAGTTAGTCTACACAGACAAAGAAGATGGAACTTGATCTTACTGAAATTAATGAGGTGATTCTTTGGGTTGTTTTTACTTTAACATTGAGACTAAATTAAAGGGGGCTAAATTCAGTGCACTTAAAAGTGGCCCAATGACATAGCCTTTGTCAGCATTTTCCTTTTGATGGTACTGAGACATAAGGAGAAAGCATGAGAAGGAAATTCAAGACCGTGGCAGGAGCTTGAACTTGTACGCTATAATCCACAGGGCAGTTACTGATGTAGAAAATCCAATGATCTTCAGCAGGCCTGAAACAGAAGGCAGGTTTCTCTCCCAGAAGGTGTGGGTGGTCTCTACTGCTGGAACATCCTAGATGAATGAACACAGATCATTAACAAAACCTCCTGTGCTGATAAGGAATAAAACACATCTATAAGATCCATTCACAGATGTCTATAATTAAATTAGAGGCCAGAAGGTCGATGTGGAGATGGAGCTTGAAGCAACCAAACTTACCCTTGATTCAGGTTCTTTAACCCATATGTCCTTCTTGGCCACCTTCCCCAAAGCATTTAAGACCTGTAAGACAGTGACCATGGTATTATGAAACTGTGTAGTTTCAACAGATTCAAGGCCCTGTTGGTTCTGGATAAGCCTCATGAGTGAGGGGCAGAGAAGTAGAGATACAGATTCTATCAGTGTCAAGAAGTAGCAGGATTTAGCTAGTGTACTGGATTTAGCTACCATGACTCAGAAGGGAGAGTGCCTCGGCTTCCCCCTTACCTCTCTTGCTGCCCGTTCTCCAGCCTCAACTGCCCCTTCCATGTAGCCACTCCATTGTGTGGCGGTCTCTGTGCCAGCAAAGTAAATCCTGCCTACTGGCTGACGAATCACCCTTTGAAGGAACAAAGAGGTCATACAGAGTTATCTGGGAAGGTGCTAAGGACAAAAAAGCCAATCACTACCCTCAGTTACTCTGCAGAAGATAAGGAAACTCCAAGCATTCTAAAAAACACCCACGTGACTCAGGCCAGGGTGAAAAGCTACTTATTCCTGGTTTCCTGGGCCTGTACACAAGGATCTGAACTTTCAAGCCAGCGAGAATCAGGCTGTCACTAAAGTGATGCTCATCTTTTCCAAGCCAGTCAGAGTGGGGATCTAAAAACATGCCTTTAATCCCCAAATCAGATTTCTTTGCTGTTTCTTATCTGTGGTCCATTCTGCTCTCTACAGTCTTTCTAAGAGGCACATTCTTCTTGAGAATGGCCATGGACCCCAGTCATGCAGGCACTCCTAATGAGTTAGGAGGAATTGCAGTGGTGAGTGGGAAATTAACTGTCATTTCTGGCAAAAGAAAGACTTGAGATATTATATGGATGTGTCTCCTTACAAGATAGTTCACTTCTCTGAACTTCTCTGTAGACTGTTTTAGGGCAAGGAAATGGGCCTCCTTTTAAAAAGAGGTCCTGCCAAAGAGAACCAAGGAAGGGCTGGACTGAATGGGCAACAGTTCCCTCCAAGGAGATAATGGGAAGACATATGTGTTGGATGAACACATTCAATGTCCTTCTGTGTAGACTAGTGCCAAGGAACCTAGGGTAGTTATTTGAGACTAAACATTGAGCTGAGCCCAAGAAGGCCCTGGGAGGAGGCTACAGAGGACACTGTAGCTTGCTTTATTATCACAAGTCCTGTTGACATCTGAAGTCCTCCCCAGTGTTCTGTTATTGTTCTACATGCTGACAGCTATTGTTCTATGTACTAACATGCTTATTTTCTACAGACATGCAGGAATGTACAAATTGACTATCTGGGACATTAGAAATAGGGATACTGATCTACTATTTCGAGAATTCCCATTGAACTCTGCTTTTAAGTTTGGTGCAGGTCTTGTATTAATTGGAGTGGTGCTTGGGTAGTACCTTCCATATAGAGTCATGATCCCAGGGGGGAAGTAGGCTGTGTAGCAGCCCCCAGAGTACTGCTCCTCACACCAGTTCTTCTCTTCATAATGCACAGGCTGCAGTTAAGTGGGGGAGAAAATGTCAAAGAGAAAACAAAGCTGAAATACTGCAAGTCAACAATAAAGGCTCTTGAGTATCTTATTATAACAAAAAGTTTACATTAAGAAAATAAAGACAACCCTGTTTTGCTAACTGAATTAAGGAAAGCGTGATAGTATCAAGTAATGGCTTTTTGTGAGATAATAAGTTGTAAAACATGTATACTTTGATTTTCTCAACCTCTTGACTAGGGAAAGCATGAACTATTCTAATATCTAGAAGACAAGGCATCCCCATGCAGATTCTGATCTTTAGAGCCAAGTTTCCATTAACAATCAGCTTATGAAAAGATCTGCTCAAATCTCTGGAATCTATAAAATAATAGGCTACCTAGGCATGCTGCTCTGAAAAGGGTAGGAAGGAGGAGGTAGAAGACAAATAAATGTCTAAGAAAGGCTTGCCCCTCAATCCCTTCTCTAAGCTAGTAAAGTGGATAGGAATCTCACTAAAAAGGGGCAAATAAGATAGAAAATGTTCCTAGGGCTGCAGTCCCCAACCCCAAGCCTGCAGACTTGTATAGGTCAGTCCATGGCCTGTTAGGAACTTAGCCACACAGAAGAGGTGAGCAGAAGGCAAGCAAAGGAAGCTTCATCTGTGTTTACAGTCACTCCCATCACTCGCATCACTGCCTGAACTCTGCCTCCTGTCAGGTCAGCGGTGGCATTAGATTCTCAGGAATGCAAGGCCTATTGTAAACTGCACATGGAGGGATCTAGGTTGCATGCCCTTTATGAAAATCTAATACCTGATTATCTGAGGTGGAGTTGAGGTGGTGATGCTAGTGGGTGGTGATGCTGGGGAGTGGGTGCAAAAATATAGATTATCATTAGCAGAGAGGTCTGACTGCATAGGGATCACAATAAATCAATTACCTTTTGACTTATATCAAAACCATTCCCCCACCTCCATCTGTGGAAAAACTGTCTTCCGTGAAACTGGTCCCTGGTGTCAAAAAAGTTGGGGATCAACTGTCCTAGGGGACAGGAGAGAAGCTTCTCTGATTTCTCTAACATATTCTGAAAGTTAAGTATTTGAACAGTTCAGAGATAATCCCTAAAAGAGCCTTCACATCAGTAGGTTCTTCAGAAATATATAATTTCATTTAAAGCAATAAAATTCCCAAGAGATGGCTCAACGCCTGTAGCTCAAGTGGCTAAGGTGCCAGCCACATACACCTAAGGTGGCAGGTTCGAATTCAGCCTGGGTCCGCCAAACAACAATGATGGTTGCAACCAAAAAAATGGCCAGGTGTTGTGGTGGGCACCTGTGGTCCCCGCTACTTGGGAGGCAGAGGCCCGAGACTCACTTGAGCCCAGGAGTTGGAGGTTGCTGTGAGCTGTGATGCCATGGCACTCTACCCAGGGGGACAGCTTGAGGCTCTGTCTCACAAAAAAGAAAAAAAAATTCCCAAAAGAGCTGTGGATTGAGTCTACACATGAAAAATTAAATTAGTATGAGTTTGACCTGGGCAGAGTCTAGATTCAATATATCTTATCAAGTATATATCATTGTGCTTGCACCAACAAATGACACTTCTGGAATTTTATTGTGCAGCAAGTAGGTGACATTGGCAGGACAGGATTCTGTTCTAGGAAACTTCCTCCCCCATCCTTGACACAATACCTGCAGCTCCAGGCTCTGATCACAATTGGCTGCCAGTTATCCAGTCAACATTTAAATAGCCTGAGGAGCCTCAGCATCAGAAATTCCATGTACCTGATACCAGCTTTTAATGGCCTTTTGTGGTTGCTTAAGTTTTTCCTCCAAGTTAAGCATATCCCTTTATACTCCTCATAAAATTGTCAGAAAACCAGAATCTGCTTTGCTTTACCACTTAAGAGAAAGCAGAGAAGAATATGCTAGAGATTAAAGCTGGAGGTTTCTTACTTGTAAAGCTTCTTGAGATCCCAGTACTTTGGCATAGAGCTCACAGATCTTCTTCTTCCTACAAAAAAAAGAGCCAAAAAAATGTTAGAGAGTAATAACTGATGGGTATAGAATAAATACAGTGTGTTCCAGGACTCTTGCCAATGAACTAGATTTATTATAAAAAAAAATTAAAATCAATGGCCTTCTGCAATTCCACAAAATGAAGAGTTCCATGAATCTAAGGGTTCAAATTAACTTTCTATGCCTCAGTAATGTCATTTGATTTGAAGATTCCACAGAATTCTCCTTTGTTTTGATATTTTTCAACACCAAATATGCTATTTGAGGTAAAATGGGGAAAATAAGGTTAAATTAGAGTTAGTCAGTCTGAGGAATTGATTCTCTATCACCCTCTTGGAATATGTATAATTCTAGAATGATCTCTTTTATAGGTCTACAGTATAAATCATAGCAAGTCCCTTCATGCTATACTTGTGTTTTAAAGATCTCCAAACATATAAAGCTCATTTAATCTTTTAAGAATAACACAAGACATGCTATATTGGGAGCGGCTATATCAGTCCAGTGACCTATCACTTCATTGACTGGTCTGTGAACCACAGTACTCCAAAGGGTACTATGTGCTATATACTATGTGATGTTATTTCAAACATAGTCTTTGGTCGCCCTCAAAATTCATTATATAAAAGATTAGCATAGGGTGGTGTCTGTGGCTCAAAGAAGTAAGGCGTCCGTCCCATATGCGGGAGGTGGCGGGTTCAAACCCAGCCCCAGCCAAAAACTGCAAAAAAAAAAAAAAAGACTAGCATAGAAGATAGCATTTTTATGTCTGAAAAATCAGTAGCTGTATTTATCTAAACTCTTCTTGAAACAAGATAACATTTTAAACTCACAGTTGCTCCTGCTGAAATTAAAAAATTCTAATTTACTAAAATCATCCGTTTTAGAAATGAATGGTTCTAGCCAGGCATGGTGGCTCATGCCTGTAATCCTAGCACTGTGGGAGGCCGAGGCAGGTGGATTGCCTGAGCCCATGGGCCAGACTGAGACCTCATCTCTAAAAAAAATAGCAGGGTGGTGGGCACCTGTAGTCCCAGCTACTTGGGAGGCTGAGGCAAGAGAATCCCTTAAGCCCAAGAGTTGGAGGTTGCTGTGAGCTGTGACACTACAGCACTCTACCAAGGGCAACAAAGTGAGAGTCTATTTCAAAAAAATAACTAAATAAAAAAATAATGGTTCTATTTTAGAATTTGTTTGAACAGGTTCACAGTGATCCAGTTATTTTTCCTATCTACCTTTTATAAGTGTTTATATAGTTTAAATGTTTGAAAGTACTCCAAAATATTTATTAAAGGCTAATAAGCAACTAGAAAAATATTTGTCAACAAATGTGGCAAAAGGTTTACTTCACATCTGTAAGATAAGCATTGAAGACTAGAGAGACAGCCAAAAATACGTGTGTTGGTGGAGGGGGGGGGCAGGGGACATCAAACTTAGTCATAATAAACAGAGATTTAAAATATATATAATTTTATGATGCCAGTTACATTAGAAAATATTTTAAGACATGCCCCCAATTTTTCTGACTAATGTGGGACAAAACATAACCTTATAAATGTATCTAAATCCTCACACACATTTATATAACTCCTAGGATTTCTTTCTTTAGCTTTTTTTTTTTTTTTTTGAGACAGAGCCTCAAGCTGTTGCCCTGGGTAGAGTGCTGTTGCATCACAGCTTACAGCAAACTCCAACTCCTGGGCTCAAGTGATTCTCCTGCCTCTACCTCCCAAGTAGCTGGGACTATAGGTGCCTGCCACAACGTCCAGCTATTTTTGGTTGCAGCCGCCATTGTTGTTTGGCAGGCCTGGGCTGGATTCAAACCTGCCAGCTAAGGTGTATGTGGATACTGCCTTAGCTGCTTGAGTCACAGGTGCCAAGACAACTCCTAGAATTTCTATCTCATAGGTATAGGCTGTCAGGTGGAGGAGGCAAAATTATAAATGTCATTTATTGCCATCATTTTCCCATAGAAGGTATTTTTTTTTTTTTTTAGAGACATAGTCTCACTTTGTTGCCCTTGGTAGAGTGCTGTAGTGTCACAGCTCACAGCAACCTCCAGCTCTTGGGCTTAGGCGATTATCTTGCCTCAGGCTCCTGAGTAGCTGGGACTACAGGCACCTGCCACAACTCACAACTATTTTTTTTTGGTTGCAATTTGGCTGGGGCTGGGTTTGAACCTGCCACCCTTAGTATATGGGGCCAGGGCCCTACTCCCTGAGCTACAGGTGTCACCCCCCCATAGAAGGTTTTATTATTTTTTTTTTAATTTTTTTTTTTTTTGCAGTTTTTGGCCGAGGCTGGGTTTGAACCTGCGACCTCTGGCATATGGGGATGCTGCCCTACTCCTTTGAGCCACAGGCACCGCCCCCATAGAAGGTTTTAACTGAGACACAATTGCTACTCCTGAGGTGATTATCACCTGACATGATGTAGACAGTTAGGTTCCAGGACAGTCAGGAAAAGTATGGTTTCCTTCAAGTTGTTGTTCATGCTATACATCAAAAATCATAGAGTAAAGGAAGAATGAGAACAGTCTCAAGACCACTGTCTGGAGGGTGAGGCCTGTGGCTCAGTAAGTAGGGTGCCGCCCCATATACCGAGGGTGGTGGGTTTGAAACCAGCCCCCACCAAACTGAACAACAAAAAATAGCTGGGCGTTGTGGGGGTTTGAACCCAGCCCTGGCCAAACTGCAACAAAAACAAAAACCAGCCGGGTGTTGTGGCGGGCACCTGTAGTTCCAGCTACTAGGGAGACAGACTAGAGAATTGCCTAAACCCAAGAGCTGGAGGTTGCTGTGAGCTGTGACGCCACAGCACTCTACTGAGGGTGACAAATTAATGGCAGGGGCAGCTCTACTCATTTCTTTTTTTTTTGGCTGGTGCTGGGTTTGAACCCGCCACCTCTGGTATATGGGGCTGGCGCCCTACTCCTTGGGCCACAGGCACTGCCCAGCTCTACTCATTTCACCCATAAATATTTGTTGAATCAAAATCCATCCTCAATCTAGTATAGTACCCTCTTTCGTAGTTTATGAAAGATGACTGACTCCTGTCTACTTCACAAGTGTGTTACAAGCAATAATTTGGACATTTTGTGTTAATTAGAAAATAAAAGTATTGACAATCATTATTCTAAAAAGCTTAATGATTCTTATTTTCAGGATACACAATAAAATCTTTTTTGAAGCTCAGTGAAACCTAAAATCCAATCAACCTACACTGTACCTGAGTTTTCATTCATGAATGATAAAAACAGTTATGATAGTTTTAAGTCACTACTTACTGTACTTTATATCACTAGATGAGCCAAGGATGTTTACACAAACACATCAAAAAATGATCTTTCCTACCCTTTAAAAACAAAAATTCTTAGAAAAGATATCCTTAGGCAAGGATGTTGGAGCAACACATTGATTAGTTTGGCTCTAAAAATAGAATGTATTTTAAATGATGGCTAAAAGAAGTCACTTCAATCTTGTAGTTGAATTTATTTATCCACTGGTTTCTAAATATACCTTTTCATCACAATCACTCAGAAAGCTGATTTAAAAATACAAATATTCAGCCTCCACCTAAAATCTACTGAATCATACTGTACAGGCCTCAGAAAAATATATTTTCCAAACATACTTTGTGTGATTTTGATGTAGTTCGTTCTTAGAACCACTATTCTCATCAATGACATATTCAGTAAGGGTTTTGCCTTGCAAGAACTTTTGAGAAGTTCTGCCACCATGCAGAAGCATAGCCAAATGTCTATCTCCAGCCTGGTATTTATTTTTCTATTAAAAAGGAAGGAAAGCAGGAAATCCAAAAGAAAATGTCAAGCTTAGTGTGGTGTAATGAAAAAAAGTATGAGTTATGTGCTCAACTCAGTCATAAGCTAGCTGCTATGGTTTGAATATATGTGCCACCCCCTCCAAAACTCATGGAGGTTGGAAACTTAACCCCCAAGGTGATGGTATGGAGAAGTAGGGCCTTTTGAGAATTGATTAAGCCAGGGGGCTCTGGCTTCATGAAAGAAATGAATGTCCTTATAAAAGGACTGGGGGGAACTAGCTAGATCCTTTTTGCCTTTCTGACTTCCAGCATTTGAGGACACAGAGTTCATCCCTTGTTGTCCTTCCTCTTTCTGCCTTTTCTACCACCATGTGAGGGCAACATAAGAAAACACAATCTATAGAACCGACCCCTCCCCACCACCACCAGACTGCTAGCAGTGTGATCTTGGATTCCCAGCTTCCAGAATTGTAAGAAACAAGTTTCTATACTTTATAAATTACCCAGTCTTAGGTATTTTGTTACTGCAGCACAAAAAGACTAAGAAACTAGCTGTGAGGCCTTGAAAAAAATCATTCCCCATTGCTGGACCTCAAATTCCTCCTCTACTGAGTGACTTTGGTAAACACTAGAATATTTTTCCTGACGTTAAATCTCATGGTTGCTCAAATAAACAAATCTGTGTGCACAAGTGGAACATGTTCTACAATCTTTCCCTGACTTGTAAAATCATCAGAGGAACTTCCAAAGCAAGGGATGCTAATGGATTAGCTGTTTAATTTTTAAATTAAATTCAGAGGGAGGTCTACATTTGTGTGTGTGTATTGTATTTCTTCATGATTTTTTTTTGTTTGTTTCTAAACATTTAGGGGGTATAAGTGTTTTTTGTTCAATGGATGAATTGTAACATGCTGAAGTCAGGGCCTTCAGTGGAAAGAAAAGGTATGATGGACTTGCACGGGGGTCAGGATTTGTTTTTTTTTTTTTTTTTTGAGACAGAGTCTCACCATGTTGCTCCTGGTAGAGTGCCATGGTGTGACACTTCACAGCAACCTCAAACTTTTAGGCTTAACTCTTAGGCTTAAGCAATTCTCTTGCCTCAGCCTCTCAAGTAGCTGGGACTACAGGTGCCCGCCACAATGCCCAGCTATTTTTTGTTGCAGTTGCCATTGTTGTTTAGCTCTCCGAGGCTGGGTTCAAGCCTGCCACCCTTGGTGTATGTGGCCCAGCACCCTTACCACCGTCCTGTGGGCGCTGAGCCTGGATTTGGTTTCTATAGGTTTTACCACAGGTAACGTTTTCTATAATTTTTTCTCTACCCATCTTATGGGAAGAAAGGCTGGATTGAGGAGGCTATAGCAAAATACAAATAAGTTAATTTGTTGGGATTTTAAGAATATTTGTGAAATATTACATTTTTCCTGATTGCTAGTCCCCTATGATCAGTGCAAAAACACAATATAAAGCTAACCCCAGGATATGGGACTGGCACCCTACTCCTTGAGCCATAGGTGCCGCCCTGAGATATAAAGTCTTACCTTATTTCTTTATGGAGCTTAGCAAGGCGATCAGCTTTACGGGCAAGGATGAAGCTGGAGAGAAAGGAAATGTTGAAATTATCAGGTTATAGCTCTTTATCTTTCTGAAGTACGCTTACCTCCACCTACTCAGCATTAATGAATTCTCCTAGACCTTCCTCCTCTACTAAAGCAAGTGCCATGCTGTCTTTAGTCTGCCTCTGTGTCTGAAACCCCAGCTTGGCTGTGCACTTTTAAATGACAGGTTGCCTCCTTAACACAGTTTTGATACAGTAGGAAGTCAAATTTTAGGCTCGGTGCCTGTGGCTCAAGTGGCTAAGGTGCCAGCCACATACACCTAAGGTGGCGGGTTCGAATCCAGCCCAGGCCTGCCAAAAAACAATGATGGCTGCAACCAAAAAATAGCCGGGCATTGTGGTGGGTGCCTGTGGTCCCAGCTACTTTGGAGGCTGAGGCAAGAGACTCACTTGAGCCCCAGGAGTTGGAGGTTGCTGTGAGATGTGATGCCATAGCACTCTACCCAGGGGGACAGCTTGAGGCTCTGTCTCAAAAAAAAAAAAAAAAAGGAAGTCAAATTTTAGATGAATTAATGCTGTATTAAATTTTTATTATTATTTTGAGACAGAGTCTCAAGCTGTCACTCTCAGTAGAGGGCTGTAGCATCACAGCTCATAGCAATCTCCAACTCTTGGGCTTCAGCGATTTTCTTGCTTCAGCCTCCTAAGTAGCTGGGACTACAGGCATCTGCCACAATGCCTGGCTGTTTTGTTTTATTTTGTTTTTGTTGTTGTTTGGTTTTTTTTGGTTGTAGTTATCATCATTGTTTGGCAGGCCTGGGCTGGATTCGAACCTACCAGTTCCCAGTCTAAGTGGCTGGTGCCCTAGCCACCAGAGCTACAGGTGCCGAGCCTGTAATAAATTATTATTTTGGTAATTACTGTTGCCTTCTGCCAAGTATTCAACAAAAGCTAGAAAAAAATAAATACAAAGTTGGACAATTAAGTTCATAAACTCATCCTAGAAAAAGTGCTATATATCTCACTGCTGAATATTACTTTGGTCATCTTTTTTTTTTTTTTTTTTTTAGATTTTATGTCATTTACTCAGTTATTGTGTTAAGACATTTATACTCTAGTTTTAGACAGATTCACTTATACCCTTATAAGACAGGCCATAGAGGTGATCTTTCCAGTCACCCTCCCTCCACCCATCTGCCATTCTCCCCTCCCCTTCCCCACCCCTCTCCCACCCCCTCCCCATATTCTTGGGCTAGAATTAGGTTGTAGCTTTCATTTGAGAGCTATAAATTAGTTTCATAATAGGGATGTGTACATTGGATACTTTTTCTTCCATTCTTGTGATACTTTGCTAAGAAGAAGAATATTTTCCAGTTACATCCATGTAAACATGAAGGAGGTAAAGTCTCCATCTTTCTTTAGGGCTGCATAGTATTCCATACAGTACATATACCACAGTTTATTGATCCATTCGTGGATCGATGGGCACTTGGGCTTCTTCCATGCCCTGGCTATTATGAATTGGGCTGCAATAAACATTCTAATACAAATATCTTTATTGTATTGTGATTTTTTATCTTCTGCGTATATACCTAATAAAGGAATTGTAGGATTGAATGACAGGTCAAGTTTTAGTTCTCTAAGTGTTCTCCAAACGTCTTTCGAAAAGGAGAGTATTAGTTTGCATTCCCACCAACAGTGTAGAAGTGTTCCCTTTTCTCCACGTCCTTGCCAGCAATTCTGGTTTTGGGATTTTGTTATATGGGCTAATCTCACTGGAGTTAGGTGATATCTCAAAGTAGTTTTGATTTGCATTTCTCT